CAGGCTGACCTAGTATATTAATTTTTATTTTATTTATATTTTTTATACTATTTGTAATAGTCCTCTCTCCTCTCAATCCATTTCACCCCTATTTTATTAGTTAAACAGACTTTTTGAATGATTATATTCTATATTATGTTGTTTCGATATACTTTGAATTTATGAATATTTATGGAATTACTAGTGTTGTTGATTGTATATTCTGTTTGGATAAATTTTTATTGTTTTATTTTTTTCTAATAGGCTAACAAGCCAAATCAGTCTTTTATTTATTGTAAATAAAGCATGCCACGTGTCAATAATTATATTCATAGCAGGTAATAGACTTTATAAGGCTCACACGTTTAATCACAAACTCAGTCTTTTTAAGACGAAAGCTATGCTCCGCTCGGCTCGTTATGACCCCTGGTTACACTCCTACCGCGCTACATTCAATTTCGCGATTTCAGCTTACCTCACATTCCAACCATTTCACAGTTCCACACTTTCATTTCACCGGAGGCGTTCATGTTCACATCGTCAGCCACCTTCACCGGAGGAGTATCAAGGGTAAACTTTTTAGCGTGCATTCGTTTTTCATTTCAAGCAAATCCCTTTTGACATTCAATCGTCCAATGCCTAACGTTTTTAGCCACATTGTCCGTCTGGGAAACAACAGCATTCCTTCTCTGCCATTCCCTGCTGCTTGCGAGGCCAAAGGCCTAAACCAATCTTGGGCGAGCTTAGGACCTTATCGAAACAGGTTCAAATGCCAAATTTTAATGCCCTAATTTATATAGTCCGAATTGATATTATTTTCTTTCTCTGAACCCAAGTTTTTTTTTTTTTGTGGTATTTAACTTTTTAAAATCTTTGTAACTTAACCTCATTGTATGAGTCACAGCTAATAGTTACTTGAATGGAGGGAAAAGAAAGTGAAATTTTATTATTGGATCTCTGCATGTATGCATTATGAACTCTGAAAATTTAATGGAAATAATTTGAATTTTGGGTTTCTGAGTTGGTTTCGGCTTATAGCAAAACAAGGAACTAATTCTTATGCCCTTAACTTGCTTGATAATTTGTCTACAAAAGGGATGAAATAGGTCGTTAACCACTAATTTATTAAAAAAAAATGTTACTGTAAAATCAAGAGGTTGAAACTAAGTTTGCAGGGGATTTGCTTGTGAAGATAAAGTTGGGGGATGTTAGTGAAAATAAAGTTGTATTCCAATGAGATACCTTAGGATTATAGTTGTCAAAACGGGTAGCTTAACACATTCACTCCGTAGAACTTCTAGCTGTGCCAAATGTAGCTTACTATATTTCAAGACAACGTTTTATCAGCCCAATACATATTGCAGGTTGGCCTGTTATGGCTTGTCAATATTTTTTTAATTTAAAAATTATAATAAATTAAATATTTTATAAATATAGATTATGTTAAAAAAAAATTTTAAGCTTGATTGGCCTCAATATTAATCACTTTGTCAATGTAATGGGGCCATGTGAAGTTAAACTACTAGAATCCTGTACCATTGGTAATTTCCATGGTCATGAGTCATGACAATGAGGGTGGGTGATAGCCAAAAAAAAAAAAAAAAAAAAAAAATCTGCAATCAATGAGAATTTCAGCAGAAAGCCAAATGCTTTCTCACTTATATTCTAATAAAGACTGAAAATAAGAATTGGAATAGTAAAGCGACAAGATAAAAATGAAAATAAATTGATATTGTAGTGTTGTTATTGTTGTATTGGATGATGATGTGGCGTGCAATTAAATGTACGTCTACTATTTACCCATCTTTAAAAATATTTACAAATTTTTAATCCAACAAATGTGGATAACATATAGAATAATGGTTAACTCACTCAGTATTTAGTCTGGATTCAATATATCCATTAGCAGAGCTGTTAACTTCTTCTCTAAGTGTTTATTATTTCTTATCCTTTTGGTTTGGTCATATATACATGGTTAAACATGTCCTATCCTTCTTCTTCATACAAAAAAAGCACAAAAAAAAGGGGCTAGTGTGCCTTCATGTAGAAGCTGCAATTCGATAAAAGGTTTCTCTTTTTCTTCTTTGTGACTCAAAGCATGGCGATAGAACATTCATGGCACCGTTCATACGTTATCCATACATGGCACCATTCATACGTTATCCATACATGGCATGGCAATATAGAGTACTAAATATATATGCAGCTCATTTTCCTTAATAGTAATTACCTTAATTTGCTCCAATGTGATAATTACCATGAAAGTTGTATTACTATTTGATTGCTCCGCACTTACCATATGCTTTCTTTTAATCTTGTTTTATGGTCTTATCTTTGTTACAGCGAGCTTCGCACTTCTAGTGGTTGTTATTTCTACATCTATATACGAATATTTGCCCAAGTAAGAGATCTCCTTTTGCTCAAGTAAGTCAAGTTACCTCAATTCTAAAAACCAAATCTTCTGACATGAAAACAAAACAGTGTTTGTAAGGTCCTTAATTTTTGCTGAAATGTCTCAATCCATAAATCTAAGCTATTTATGCAAATTCCCTTGAAGTTCAGTACACTGATTTCCCCACTATGAGTTGCTGGTGTACTAGAAGTTATTCCATTGATGAACTGTGGTGTCTGAATATGAGTGTTAGCTGAACAGTGAAGGTGGGTTTTGTGTTGAGTTAGGGTTCAGTTATGAAAAGGAAAAACTTATTTGCAAGATTTATTTGTTTTACTGCTAGATAAAGCTATTTTATATTAATCACTTGTTAACTCTTTTATTTCCCTATGTCATGGCTTAGTGGATGTGTACATAATTAGTTATCTTAATTTCCATATCTCTATCATTATTAGTGTTAAATCTATTTACTTATTGAACTTTGATGTTCGCATGAGTTGATATTTATACAATTAAGCTTGTTTGTCGCCTTGGAGGATTAGCTTGGTGTTTAGCAATTTCTACACAGCTAAGATTGGATTGAGAAGTGGTAACATTTAAACGTGTGTCTCACACTTACATTGTCAATCAACTGTGAAGGTATGATTTGAAACCAACATGATATAAAGCATTTGGGTGTTTTCCCGATAGAGGAGGCCATTTTTTCCCGTCCATATATTTAGTAAGGAGTTGTGCTTTGATTGATTTGCTTCAATAAATACTCCAACTTTGACATACTTGATTGTTTACGGTGCTTCTCTGTTCAGCATTATTGAAGCCAATCCATTTGGTATCACTGAAAAGATTAGCTTATCCATTTGACAGAAAACTATATGTAAATGCCAACAAGCATACAAAAGGGCTGCATCTCTGTAATTGAATCATAGCCGTCCATGAAAGAGTATTTTGATTAATTCGTTTGATATTAGAAATTTCCTATTAAAGGCCACGCAAACAAACTTGGATTCATTTATAGTCACAATATTTCTTAATTATTTTTGGATATAAATGCCATTTGCCACCATTGCAGGGCTTACTTTATATCATTGTTTTAAAACCCGGAGCGAACAGGTCGGGTCGACCCAGGTTGCGGAAACTCGGTGGCCTCACCTGTTCGAGCTGGCCATTGGATCAACATGCTCTTAAATTGGTTTCGACCAGTTGACTTGGCCGAGTCTCGGTGACTCGGTGGGTCATATGAAACCCAACCCAACAATTCAAGCTGTTTTATAAAAAAAAACCGTTTCTTTTGTGTCAAAAAAGAAGACCCTAAAATCCTAAGCTCTTGACTTCGACTCTCATTGTGCCCTAGAAGCCGGTCCCATAACCATTCGAACTTCGTACTTCCTCTCAGCTGCTGTCCGCCGTCGATTGTTGCTCGTCGTCCGCTGTCATTATTGTTGCCGGTGTGGTTTTCATTTTCTCTCTCTAAATTTCTCTTCCTCTCTCTTTAAAAATAAATAAATTCACTTCTCTGTTAATTTTTCTCGCTGAAATCGAAGTTCTCAGCGGTCACCGCTGATTCACTGCATCCTCGGTAGTCGATACTCCAAATTTCCCAACTTTATTGAATTCCATTCCTTTTTTGTTTTGTTTTGTGTTTTCCCTCTTATTTTTTCTTTTTTGGAGAATTTTCTATGTACATGAACTGTCCTATTTTGAAGGTGGGTTTTCTTTCATTTCCTTTTAAAGTTGCCTCCTCCTTTGTCAAATTTGACTGCTTTCTGCATCTTCAAAGCACCGTGCTTTGCATTGGGTTGTGAAATTCACATTCACTTGTTGCTATTCTGGTTTGCTGTATTGGGTTGGCTTCTTTTTTCGTGTCACTCTACCTGTTTCAATGCCCCAATAGTTTTAGCCGCAGAGTTGAGGTTATTTGGATAATGGGGTTGTGATATTACGTGGTTTTTGTTCAACTTGTACCTCTTTCAGTCTCTTTTATTTTACTAAATATGATATATATGTTTGATCTGGTAATGAATCTGAGTCTGAAAGTTATATTTTCTTACACCGTGTTAATGAATCTGAGTCTGAAAGTTAATGAATCTGAGAAAACATTACTTCTGCTGTCATAAGAAATTCATGCTTTCAATTGGTACCAATTGGTGATAAGCTTGCTATTGAATCTGAGTCTGAATTGATACCAATCGGTGATTGTTTAAGTCTTAATATACTTGATTTATTGGTTGTTGATGTCTTTATATACTTGATTTATGTTTCGTGCAGATTTATTTTCACCAAGATGTCATCCACTGAACCTGATTCAACACCATTGTCCCAAGATGTATCATCTCAAAATTCCTCTAAACCAAGTTATAGGGGGAAAAAGGATCCAAGCTGGGGACATTGTAGACAAGCTATTGAAGATGGAAAAGTTGTTATAATATGTCAGTACTGCAATAAAGTTATGAGAGTAGGTGGAATTAATGGGTTAAAGAATCATTTGGCCGGAGAAAAAAGACAAGTTGAGCCATGTAAAAAGGTTCCAGCTGAGGTGCGTGATGAAATGAAAAAAAATGTTGATGAAAGCAAGAAGAAAAAAAGAAAAGTTCAACATGAAGAAGAAGACAACGGTGAATATGGTGATGTAATGAGATATGTTGATAATCAACCACCTTCCAAATCTGAAAAAGGGAAGAATGCCATAGGTTCTTATTTTATTCCGAGAACAACTTCTGGAGCTCAACCAAGCTTAAAAGGCGTTTTACAAAGTAAAGAAGTGATTTGGAGAGCTTACCGTTCTATTTCAAAGTGGATGATTGTTTCTGGGCTCCCATTCAATGCAGCTAACGATCCTTGTTTTCAGGAAATGTTTGATGCTGTGTGTAACTTGGGTGCAGATTTTAAAGCTCCAACCATGCACATGTTACGTGGTGCTTTGCTAGATAGTTGGGTTGATGAGGTCCATGATCTTGTTGAGAGTTATCGCAATGTTTGGAAGCACACCGGATGCACTATTATGGCGGATGGTTGGACTGATCGGTGTAGGCGAACTCTTATTAATTTTTTTGTTTATTGTCCTAAAGGAACTGTTTTTTTGAAGTCTGTGGATGCTTCTCATGCTTCCAAAACTGCATATTTATTATATCAGCTTTTCAAAGATATTGTGCTATTTGTTGGGCCTGAAAATGTTGTTCAATTTGTGACTAATAATGCTACCAATAATGTTGCTGCTGGAAGATTATTAGAGGCTGAGTTTCCCAAGATATTTTGGTCTCCTTGTGCTGCTCATTGTATTAATTTGATGTTCCAAGACATTGGCAAATTGAAGGAAGTGGATGAGGCCGTGGCACATGCTTCAAAAATTACGAAGTATGTATATAACCATTGTTATCCGTTGTATTTAATGAGAAAATTTACTGGAGGCAAAGAAATACTTCGACCAGCTCCAACTCTCTTTGCCACAAATTTCATTGCTTTACAAAGCATATTGGCTCAAAAAGATGCATTAAGAGCAATGGTAACATCAAGAGATTGGACAAATTCAGCCAATTCTAAGGATGACAAGGCTAAAAGATTTGTTGAGCAAGTCTTAAATTCTAGATTTTGGAAAGAGTGTACTGACATTGTGAAAATTACTGAGCCACTTGTCTGGCTGTTACATCTTGTTGATAGCGAAGAGAAGCCTTCCATGGGTTATCTTTATCAGGCCTTCTATAAAGCAAGAGAGGAGATGGTCAAAAGGTTTCAAAGAAAGAAGAAAAAGGTGGAGCCATACTTGAAAATCCTAGATAGCCGATGGGATTCACAACTTCGTAGAAATTTGCATGCCGCGGGATATTGGTTAAATCCAGGATGCCATTTCAATTGTGAGGAGTTTGAAAAACATGAATTGACAACTTCTAGTCTTTTTAGATGTTATTGAGAGGTATGCATATCGGGATGTGGATTTGCAATGCAAGTTAACGGCTGAGATGAGAATATTCTAAGAAGCCGAGTTTGATTTTGGAAGGCAAGTAGCTATTCAGGAACGAAATACAATTATGCCAGGTAAAATAATTTATGAGCTTTACCTTTAATTCTTATTACAGTTGAATAAAATTAGTATGAATATTAATTTATTTTATTGCTTACAATATTTCAGATGAATGGTGGGATACATATGGCTTTGGTGCACCAAACTTGAGAAAATTGGCTATTCGTGTCTTAAGTCAAACTTGTAGTGCCTCTGGTTGTGTGCGAAATTGGAGTGCATTTGAGCATATTCATTCAAATAGGAGAAATCGGTTAGAACATAAAAGATTGAATGATCTGGTCTATGTTCGGTACAACTTAAAACTCCAACAAAGGTATAATGCAAAATTGATTGTTTACTTTCTTTTGGACAAATGTTTGTATATATTTGCTTATGTTAAATATTGGAAAAATTAGGAATCAATTGAAGCACCAAAATTATGACCCAATTAATTTGGAAACAATGGAGGATCATTCTAATTGGGTTTTTGAGGAGTCACCACCATCATTAACGGATGAAGAAGCGAGATCTTTACGTGAAAACATATGCAATAATGTCATTCAACCAATTGTAGATGATATTGGTATGTTTCTTTATACAATTTATGAGTATAATTCCATTGTTTAATTTGATGATGTGATCACTTCATGTTAATTACTAACTTACATAAAATTTGACGTTATTGTAGATCTATTGAATTTAGATGATGATGATGACGATGATGATGTACAAGACATAGCCATTGCAAACCAAAATGAAAGCCATGTTGGTCAAGTTTTGGAAGAGATTGATGGAGAAGGACTAGGAGAGCCTGGATTTGATACGACTTTAACACCATGGACATAGTAATTTATATCAGATTGTGTATTATTGGCTTATAAGTTTCATTAAACTGGTTGAATTATGTTGAATATTTTGAACTTTTGATTAAGAATTTTGTTTTCGGTGAATTTTTAATATAAGTAACAGAGGGAGGTTATATTTATAACCCATTTTGCTTACAATCTCTTACAATTAAATTTTAATCGTTGATTTCCGTCAATCTGACACTTATAATTTATTAGAAATTAATAATTAATTAATAAGTGAGACCCAATAAATTACAACTGCCAGATTGGTGGAAATCAACGGTTAATATTTGGTTGTAAGCGAACAGAGGTTATAAATATAACCTTCTTCTAAGTAATATATTTATATTTTTTTAATATGTATATCTGAGTCAACCGGTTGAACCAGTGACTCACCGGTTGAGCGAATGACACCCAATACCTCGAACGAGTCGATAACCGGACCGAGTTTAAAGCACTATTTTATATAGATTATATAGTTATGAGTTATGACTCATATAGCCATGTTTGTTGTCAAACATCATTGTTTTGACTTCCATGAAGCATTTTTAGGTTAGATGGACACATCTGAAATTACTACCATAGCATTTCACGGGAATTAACCTTACTTAACCATGGTTGTTGCTAGGTTCAGCCATAGATAGTAACATCTAAATTGGAGACACGAATTGGTAAGTTATTCAAGGCACTTTGCAACCCATATATTGCTGCCCTCTGTTACGCATATTTTATTGGGATTATTTGAACCAAATGTATATGTTTAAGTGTTTTACAAGTCTACGATGGATTGGGTGCTTTGTGCCTATTGGTTCATGTTACTGTCATGGTTTTCCTAGTTCATTTCCTTTAACTTGTTTGCTACAAATTCTGCGTCACTTAGCCTTTTACAAATCTCTAGTTCACATCCCAAAACACAAGTCCTAAACCTAAAACCCTAACCCTAACCGTAAGACACAAAACTAAGAAAAATAATTAGTGTTGCCATCAGGTTTTCTACTCAAGATGGAAATGAAAACTGAAAAGTATGTACAATCAAAGCTCACATTGAATTGAAATATCTATTATATATTATAAAAATTGAGAGTCGTTATACTTAACTTACAACTCTTATTATCTAATTGGTTATTATTGAATCAATTTCAAATTAACAATTAATTTTTCACATTTTTTAATCATTAATTTCAAATCAATCGAACGATTAAGTATGGCATTCATTATAATTATCGTGTACCATACCCAAATAAACACTAATTTTTAAAAAATTTAAGTTTTAATCTTGTTAAAATTAGTTATCCACATGACAAGTCCTTATTTTCTTTTTTAATTAATCCACTTTTCTAATTTATATTTCAACTTAATTATGACCACTATTTATGTTCCATGTTTTTCTTTATTTTTGTTATTATCCTTCACATTTTCAAGAAAAAAATAATATAAAATTGAATTATTTACTCTTCATTTTTCTTTTCTTTTTTAAAAATAATTTTTAAGTTTTTTTATAAAAATAATAAAAAACTATTTTTCATAGTCATATTTTATAATTCATTATTTATAGACATGATTTCATTAAAATGATTAATAATAAAAAATGTCAAAATAATTAATTATAGGATTCAGGAAAACTGTACTTTCGGATAGAAAAACATAAGAAAGAAATAAATATTTTCGTGCAAAAACAACAAAAGACAGAATGCAATAAAATATTAAAAAACATATTTTTTTTTTATTTTTTTTATTTTTTTCATTTAACATAATATTGACACATAAGCTCTGTACGTAATCAACAATAAAGCATAACAAATTATACAAATCTCAACATCTACACAAACATCACTAGAAAAGTACACAAACACACAATGCATATGATAATAAAAATTCCCCCAAACTTATTCTTTAATTACATGACTCCTGTATGTCTTCTTTCACCCGCAGCTTGGTTAACCTGTTCTACTTCATCACCAGAATTCTTAGACAAATCTTCACCATCTGCAATTACAACAAACAAACCACAAAACTAAGTCCAAACATAATCTAAACAAACAAAAGCGTTTCATCTTCAACTAAAACTACTACAAAATTTGCCAGCATACATCAAAAGATAGCTCTCTTCATAACCTTGTGACTCAATGATAAAAACAAAAAATAGGCAACTACATACCTTGTGAGGATTGATTCTCCTCTGGTTTGTTGCCAAACCATGATCCAACAACACCTTTGAGCTTATCAACCACACCTTTTCCAGGGCTATTAACATAGCTCTCTGCATAACTTTTCTCTCTATTCTCATCCCCACTACCCAACCTTTTTTTGACCTCTTCTGACTCAGTCACTTTCTCCAAGGGTAGATGTTTTTCTCTCCTCTCTGGCTCCTCTTCTCGCTTGTGTACAGCATCTGAAACCAACTTTTTCAGATTCATATCATCCACTTTATCCTCATTAACCTCTTTTGGCTCTTCTTCCTTCTTATACAAAGTTTCAGAAATCACCTCAGAAAGAGCCCTGTCTTCATCACCAGGCCTCAACTTGTCAACCAAGTAGTCCTTCACAGAAACCCCTCTGTCCTGTTCTATAACCACATTTTCATTGTTAGCAGTTCCTTGAAATTGGGACTTCCTTGCACTTCCTACCCCAGCAACTTTTCCACAAACTGGAGCTAGTTTCTCCGTCAAAGAGAGAGCAATTTTCTTTCCATAATCTGAAGTATTCTCGCTTTTCTTCTCTTCTTGTGTTGTCACTTTGTCGTCTTCGCTGTCACCTTTCTCACCAAAACCGAGCTTAGAGGCTACAGTGTTTGTAGCAGAAACAGCTTTATCAGCTATTGCAGTGGTTGCTGATGAGATTTTCTCTTTGTAACTGCTCTGGTTTGATGGATTTTCTCCAATTGTGTTGTCCTCTTCATGTGGCCACCTTGTTTCTTTCTCGTCTCTGTCACCTTTTTCACCATATCCAAGCTTGGAAGCGACCATGTTTTTAGTAGCGACGGCGTTATCAGCGATTGCAGAGGTCGCCGAGGAGATTTTTTCTGCGTAACTGCTTTGGTTTGATGGTTTCTCCACTGACTCTACAAACTGATCATGGCTTTTGGCTGAAGGGTATTCAGTTTTTGTTGTGCTTGGCTCTTGCGATAAGTATTGATCATGGCTTTTAACGTAAGGGTTTTGAGTTTTAGGCTCAGTAGATAACTCTGACAGAAACTGATCATGGCTTCCTGAAGAAGGGTATTGAGTTTTTTTTGCACTAGACATTTCTGACAAGTTTCGGTCTTGGCCTCTAGCTGAAGGGTACTGAGTTTTGGTTGTTGAAGTAGAAAACTCTGGCATAAACTCATCCTGGTTTGATGGTTTCTCCTTTGATTCTATAAAATGATCATGGCTTCTAGTTGAAGGGTATTCAGTTATTGTTGCACTAGACTGTTGTGGCAGATATTGGTCATGGCTTCTAGCAGAAGGGTACTGAGTTTTAGGTAATTCAGTAGACAACTCGGGCAGAAACTGATCATGGCTTCCTGCATAAGGGTATTGAGTTTTTGCAAACTGATCATGACTTCCAGCAGAAGGATATTGAGTATTTGTAAACTGATCATGGCTTCCTGCAGATGGGTATTGAGTATTTGCAAACTGATCATGGCTTCCAGCAGAAGGGTACTGAGTTTTTGCAAACTGATCATGGCTTCCTGCAGAAGGGTACTGAGTTTTTGCAAACTGATCATGGCTTCCTGCAGATGGGTATTGGGATTTTGTTGCAGTACTAGACAATTTTGACAAGTTTTGGTTGTGGCTTTCAGCAGAAGGGTACTGATTTGTGGTTGTAGACAACTCTGGCATAAACCGATCCTGGTTTTTAGGGTATTGTGTTTTGATTTCACTAGATAGTTCTGGCAAGTATTGGCCATGGCTTTCAGCTGGTGGGTAGAGAGTTTTAGTTGCAGTGGATAATTCTGGCACAAATTGGTGGTGGCTGTGAGCAGCAGGGTACTGCGTTTCAGCAATAGTTGGAAGGATAACTTTTGGTTCTGGGTTAGGTTTTGGCTCATTGTGGATAGTCATCCTGTCAAAAGATTTCTGAATTGGTTTAATGTCAATTTCTGCACCACCTGTTAACCATAAGACATTACCAAAAAATGTCAAAGAATAGACCATAATTAGCTCTAAAACATGGTTGCTACTTGCTTACAAGGACTACACTATGATGATAGGACTCCTTAGTACAATATAGTCAATTTTCTGTATTGGATGGTGACCGGACTTGTAGATCACATCATACTATGCCACCAGTTGAGGACTCTACAAAATCAAATGCCACACTATTTTAAGCCAAGATAAACTCTATTAAGTACCCATTTTATCAATTTAATCCCCAGATATTCCGAAATTGTATACTGATACATTAACCTTAATACATCAAGGAATCCGGAGTCTATTACAGATCATTGAATATTGAGACAACTTTTGTTCACTTACCTGCCCCAGTTGGATCAGTGACTTTGGTTTGATAGTTGGCTGGAGTAAATGCTTCAGGTCTACTTCCTGGTGCATGAGGATCTTCCTCCAAGTCCATCGGTCTCTCCAAATTGAACTTATGTGCCTTCTCTTCCCCAACAAATGTTCTGGCTGGGTCAGTGGATCTGCTTTGATTAATTTCAGCAGTTGGAGAAACAACTACAACTCTTGGCTCGTGATGAAGTTCTTCGCCCATAACTTTTGCATCTCCAAAATTAACTCCAGGTTTCCCTAAAGTGTTGACTTGTCCTGGGGTAGCATTTCTAGCAGCGGCACTGTCATACACTGCAGAACAACCAAGTATATATTATCCAAACTAAAGCAAAATCAACTTTTTTTTTTCTTCTTCTTGATTCCTCTCATTTAAAAGATTCCAATTATTTATCATCAGTTTTGCAGAAAATTTCTAGAAAACTTAGAAAAAAAATCTACTAAGTAAAGGCAAGTCTCTAATTCACAGATTAAGTAAGGACAGAACAATTAATGATTAGTTCTTCAGTGTTAAGAAAGAACATACTTGGTGCTCCATGGATTTCTGGGTCTTCAACCATTTCGTCATCGTCATCATTTTCCTCATCCAAGTCATGATCATCAGGGATATGTTGATCTTCATAGTGATACTCATGACCATGTTCATGGTCATGGTCATGATGGCCATGTTTCGTGATTGTGTCCTTAATTTTCTTAGCCTTTGCCTTCACTTTTTTCAGAACTGATTTCTTCTCATGGTCATGGTTGTGTTCTTCTACACCATGTGCCCCTACATCCAAAATTTGAAGCAAAATCACAAGGAAAGAAAGAAACAAAAAAAATAAAAAAATAAAAATGCATGCCCATTAGTGGAAACAAGTGAAGGTTTCTTCAAATCAAATCAAATCAAACTTCAAATTAAATGAGATTCGTACCTTGTTGTAAGCCAACATTGTGAGGATCATGATGTTGATCGTACTCGTGCATATTACTTTGAACTACTCTAGAGTTCATGGTTGAAAAGGAAAAGTATCTGCTTGTCCTCCTCGTTGAAGAAAGTTACTGTAAGGAAAATCCAAAGGCCTTGGGGCGGTATATAAAAGAAGGAATGACATTGTGTTCTGCCACCTTTAAGAATACTGCAGACACGTGTCACGACACGTCTTTGTCAATTGACACGTGTTGACTACTTTCATATACGTGGCTCATTTTCTCTTCATGAAAGTTTTAGAGTTAGGATAAACTGTTCTTATTCTCGGGGACATGAAATGAATAGATTATGTTATCTGTTGACAACAATACAACATTGATAGAAACACACGCAGTGTAATCTCAAGTTCTTTCATGCCAAAGATTCTTCTTGTAAAACAGTTTTTTATTATCTCTTTTCCTTTATACTTTTTTATCATTATTTTTATAATTTTTGAATCAAAATCAAATTACCAAATATATTAAATAATAGCTGTTAATTTAATTTTTATCCAACAATCATAAAAATAATGGTAAGGGTAAAAAATGACAACTATAATTTCTTTTAAGCTAATGAACAATTATTAAGCATCAAATTTTAGATTTAATTAAGTGCATGCCATAATCATTTGAATTATCACACATTATCAATAGTTAGGGAATTCCACAACGAACAAAAACAATAAGGGAATTCAACAACGAACAAAAACAATAATTTTTTTAAAAAGCTAAAAATAAACTAACAAGTTCAGGCGGGAGACAATTGAAAAAAAAAGAGAGAAATTGTGTAAAAACATTGAAGCAATGGGTTTCGGATCCAATACCGGTTCATCGGAGCGAGCCTTTAATGGTTCGGTTCGGTTCACGCACTGCTCCAAAGTCCGAACCCAAGTACTATAAATACAAAATTTAAAGCGCGAAATTCAATTCGATTTTCGAGTCCGTTAGCTTCTTCTGTCTCTCTCTCTCTCTTCGCCGAAGAAAATGCGAACTCGCTTTCTCAACAACGATTACTTCACTCTCCCTCCATCCCAACGTCGCGAAACCCTCCCGTTCCTCCACCTCGAAGTCCCTCGCCTCCCTACGCCGCCTCCCTCCGCCGTCCACCACCTCCTCCGCTTCGATTCCCCACTCCACGTCTCCCACCACATCGACCCCTTGCCGATCGACCCCGCCCTCTCCACATTCCTCTCTGGTGTCCTCCCCCACAGAATCCACATTGATTCTCGCGATCTCACCGTTCTAACGGGAGGCGAAGAAAATCGGAATCGCGAGGTATTTGAGATTGCATTTGTGTTTGCGTGAGTGTTTCTCCGATGAAGAATAGATGGATCTTCTTGTGGATTGTGTTGATTATCATCAGTATTAGAATTTTTCACTCTGCAATTGTGATTTCATGCGCAATGCTTACATGAGAGAGCTTCCCTGAGTGAACTCGTGCTTTTTGGATGTTTTGATTGCGTTGCAGCAAGACGCAGAGGTTATCTTTGAAGATCATGTCTCTGAAGCTGATATTGAATTTCAGAAAGTATGTTAATGCTTCTTATTCTCTGCATTTTTGTATATTTATTTATTTTGATAAGATCTTAGACTTGTTGTTCGCAGGAGAATAAAACGGTAGCTCCGAGTGATAAAAACGACGTCGTTTATCAAACGATTCAATTCGAAACACCTGAGCTAGATGCACTCTTGGTAGGATGCTTGTTTCTAGATTTGTAGTTATAACTTGTTATGTTTTCCCCATTTTCATTCGATTTTTACCATAATTTTTTTTCTTTGTATTTAAAAGGAAAATGTATGCTTCACTGAGAAGGAGAGGATGCAAATGTTGTCTCAGACTCCAGAGCTCGAAAATAGCCTGGTAAGTAACGGGCGTTATGATATATAGACACTTATATGATCACTTGGTTTTATTACACATTGTACTGTTGTTGATTTGCTTTGCTTCAATCTCGTCCAAATATGAACTGTGTACAGATTCATTAAACGTGTCTGTTGATTGCCTATTGGAATTGTTGCTGTACATAGTATAGAAGTCCCACATTGTGTATATGTCTTTGTATTTCTTATTTGGTTTAATATATAAATGAAATCTCTTTCGTGTAGTTGACACAAGGATTACAGTCAAATGCCTCTTGTATTTCTGATAGTTAACATGGTATCAGAGCCAAACAAGAGGAATCCTAATCCGCGTTTTTCCAGTGAACCACTGTTCGCTGCGTAAATTTTTTTTGTCATCTTTGTCAGTTTCCGGTCATCATCTTTCCGATCCAGGACCTTTCCGATCATCGCCACTGTCAAGAACCGCCGTTGACCACCGTCTTCGGCGACTTTTCCAGCGAATTTTCCGACGAACCATACACGGTTGTGATCGTTCGGACAAGGCGGTTTTATCTATGCCGGACCCATCCCCATCCTCTTCTCCACGCGCTCTCACGCGCGTGCCAAAGGGGCTGCGTCCAGATTTTTTGCAGCGGCGCGTGCGGCTACTTTTCACGTCCGACCACCACCTTCCATCTCGTTCTGACCTTGCGCACCTGGATCTGTCCTCGTTTTGTGTTTTTGACTTTGTTACGGCTTCCCACAAAGTGTTTTATTTCGCTGGTTACTGTTCACGCGATCTTTTTGTGCTTTCCGCTACTGTTTATTTTTGTTTCAGGTGACCTATGGCTGATTCGTCACCCCACGATGTATCCAAGGGTTCTCAAAAGAATGACACGCCTGTTTTTTCTAATTATATTAATGTTCCGTTGCACGTCGACAAGTTGGATGGCTCCAATTATGATTCTTGGGCTTCTGATCTCCGACTTTGGCTTGATGGACAGGATTATGCTGACCATCTCATTACTAAGGCTGAGTCCATCTCGGTAGATGTACGCCCTCATTGGAAAAAGGTTGATGCTCAGTTATGTAGCATCATCAAGTCTACCATCCACTCGTCGTTGAAGCAAATTTTCCGTGCTCACGTCACTTGTGAGTCTGTTTGGCGTCAGGCCAAGTCACTTTATACCAATGACACTCAGCGACTCTATGGTGTTTGTCAAAATTTGATCACTACTATTGCTGCTCAACACCTTGATGTCTCTATGTCTGCTTATTTGGGAAAAGTTCAGGGTCTCCTTCATGATTTCAATGAACTTTTGCCGCCTGCTGCAGACCCTGCTAAGGAACTTGAGCAACGCAGCACATTCTTCATGCTCATGGCTCTTTATGGCTTGCCCCCGGAGTACTCTGTAAACCGGGATAAGATCTTGGGTTCTACTACTGTTCCATCCCTGGACTCTGTTTGGTCTTCATTGCTTCGAATTCCACCTAAGTCTGCTATGGAGCCTGCCGTATCTGCTTCCTCTTCAATTGACCCATCTGACCTTGTCTCCAAGGGTTATGCACGTGGACGAAAACCCTCTACGAGACGCTTTCTCTGCACTCATTGCAACAAGCCGGGCCATACTATTGATCGTTGCTGGGATCTTCACGGTTGCCCTCCTCGCTCCGCTCATTTTGCTCAGAGTGTTGCTCCTGTCTCGGACTCTGCTTTGATTGCTGGACCACAGCCACCTCCGTCTGTTCTCACTGACTTCTTGCAATGGTATGAAGGGAAGCGTCCTCCTGGTACCACTGCCTCTGGTGCACACACGGGTAATTCCTTGGCTGGTGTTTCTCACTCGCCCTCTCTTGGTCCATGGATTCTCGATTCTGGTGCATCTGACCATATTTCTGGTAATAAGTCTTTATTCACCTCTCTCTGTACGTCTGGTCCCTTGCCCAGTATCACTATGGCTAATGGGTCACTGGTTCCGTCCCAAGGGCACGCACTGTTCTCCTTTTTCCTTCTATTCCCATTAAGAATGTGCTTTATGTTCCTAATTCTCCTTTCAACCTTATTGCCATTAGTCGTTTGACTCAATCCCTTGACTGTATTATTTCTTTCACTAAAGAGTCTGTCATTTTGCAGGATCGGAGCTCGAGGAGGACACTTGGTGTCGGATCTGAGTCCAATGGCCTTTATCAGCTTTCGACTTCTGTCCCAGTGTGCTCTGTTGTGGATTCTCCGCTTACTATCCACGCTCAGTTGGGTCATCCAAGTCTTGCTAAGCTCCAGAAGATGGTCCTACGTTTATCAAATTTATCTAGTTTGTCTTGTGAGTCATGTCAGTTAGGGAAGCACACTCGTAGTTCATTTCCCGATCGTGTCAGTCGTCGGTCTTCGTCTCCTTTTGCTTTAGTTCATTCAGATATTTGGGGTCCTAGTCGTATCGTTTCCACTATGGGGTACAGATATTTTGTAACTTTCATTGATGATTATTCTCGATGTACTTGGTTATTTTTAATGAAAAATTGGTCTGAATTGTTTTCTATTTTCAACAAATTCTTTAATGAAATCATTACTCAATTTTTGTGTTTTGATTTGCATTTTTCGAAGTGATAATGCTCGTGAATATTTGTCTCATCAGTTTCAAACCTTCTTTGCATCTCACGGCATCCTTCATCAGACATCATGTTCACACACTCCTCAACAAAATGGGGTTGCTGAACGCAAGAACCGTCACCTAATTGAAACTACTCGGACACTTTTGTTACATGGTCATATCCCCTTCCAGTATTGGGGCGATGCTGTCCTCACAGCTTGTTATCTCATTAATCGCATGCCTTCCTCCGTACTTAATAACCAGGTACCACATTCTGTGTTGTTTCCCATCAACCTTTGTACCCACTCACTCCTCACATATTTGGTTCTACTTGTTTTGTCCACAATCTCAGTCCTGGTCTTGACAAGTTATCTGCTAAGTCACATAAATGTATTTTCCTGGGTTACCCTCGCTCATAAAAGAGTCTTCGTCGTTACTCTCCCAGTCTTCGTCGTTACTTTGTCTCGGCGGATGTTACATTCTTTGAGTCTATCCCATTCTTTGACTCCTCCTCCTTTCCCAGTGATTCTGTTGCTACTCAGTTTACCCCCTGTTTCAGTTCAATATATACCTTCCCCATCTCCTTCTTTAGATGTTCCCGCCCCTGTTCCCCCCTCCAGGTCTATCATCGTCGGCAACGTCCACCTGTTCCCCAGGACCCTGCCCCCCAAGACCCTGCCCCTATTGTTACTGAGGCTCCTGTGGACTCACTTCCGTCATCAACTCCTCTGGCAGCTCCGATCCTTCCGTCTGACATTGATGTACCCATTGCACTCCGGAAAGGTACTCGTGATTCTCATCCCCCTCCCAGGTATTTAATAAATTTGAGTTATCATCGTCTTTCAACATCCCATTTTGCTTGCCTCTCTCCTCTTTCTTCTGTATCTGTTCCTAAGACTACAGGTGAGGCGTTATCACATTCTGGATGGCGACAGGCCATGACTGATGAGATGAGTGCACTTCAGAGCAGTGGTGCCTGGGATCTGGTTCCCCTTCCTTCTGGGAAGTCTGTTGTTGGCTGTCGATGGATATACACAGTCAAAGTTGGTCCTGATGGTCAGGTGGACCGTCTCAAGGCCCGCTTGGTGGCTAAAGGTTATACTTAGGTATTTGGCCTTGACTATGGTGACACATTTTCTCCCGTGGCGAAAATGACTTATGTTCGCCTCTTTATTACTATGGCAGCCATTCATCACTGGCCTATGTATCAGCTGGACATAAAGAATGCTTTCCTCCATGGTGATCTGCGGGAAGAGGTTTATATGGAGCAACCTCCTGGGTTTGTTGCTCAGGGGGAGTCTAACCTAATTTGTCATCTCCGAAAATCCTTGTATGGTCTCAAGCAGTCTCCCCGGGCTTGGTTTGGAAGGTTTAGCACTGTTATACAGTAGTTTGGCATGACTCGAAGTGAGGCTGATCACTCAGTCTTTTATAGACACTCTGATTCAGGTTCTATTTATTTGGTAGTATATGTTGATGATATCGTCATTACAGGTAATGATACTCATGGCATAACTCAGATAAAACAACATTTGTGCCATCATTTTCAAACAAAGGACCTTGGAAGACTCCGATATTTCTTAGGGATAGAAGTGGCCCAATCCAAAGATGACATTGTACTATCACAGAGAAAATATGCTATGGATATTCTTGAGGAGGCAGCACTGTTGAATGCTAAGCTCGTCGATACTCCTATGGATCCAAATGTCAAGCTTTTGCCAAATCAGGGGGAGCTATTTTCTGATCCAGAAAGGTATAGAAGATTGGTTGGGAAACTGAACTATCTCACAGTTACTCGACCAGACATTTCCTTTGCAGTCAGTGTAGTAAGTCAGTTCTTGAATTCTCCCTGTGAAGATCACTGGAATGCAGTAATCCGTATCCTCAAGTACATCAAGACTGCTCCTGGCAAAGGTCTTCTCTATGTAAACAAAGGTCATACCAGAGTTGTAGGATACTCAGATGTTGATTGGGCAGGTTCTCCTATTGATAGAAGATCCACTTCTGGGTATTGTGTATTCGTTGGAGATAACTTGATTTCCTGGAGAAGTAAGATGCAAAGTGTAGTTGCTAGATTAAGTGCTGAAGCAGAATATCGCTCCATGGCCACAGCTACCTGTGAACTCATCTGGTTAAAACAGCTACTGAAGGAACTCAAGTTTGGAGACACTGGCCCAACATCTCTCATTTGTGATAATCAAGCTACTTTGCATATTGCTTCAAATCCAGTGTTTCATGAAAGGATTAAGCACATTGAGATAGATTGTCATTTCCTTAGAGAAAAGATTCTCTCAGGGGATATAGTCACTCGTTTTGTCAACTCAAATTATCAATTAGCTGATGTATTTACTAAGTCTTTGAGAGGACCTAGGATAGACTAGATATGTAACAAGCTTGGTGCATACGATCTATATGCTCCAGCTTAAGGGGGAGTGTTGCTGTACATAGTATAGAAGTCCCACATTGTGTATATATCTTTGTATTTCTTATTTGGTTTAATATATAAATGAAATCTCCTTCGTGTAGTTGACACAAGGATTACAGTCAAATGCCTCTTGTATTTCGGATAGTTAACAGGAATAATCTTATTCCTTACTTCTTCTAACCTTAGATTATATATTCTCATCAATTATAATATAACTGAATAGATATATTACAGTAGTCTGTACTCGGGTCTGTTATTTATTGAATTTGCAACATGGAGGAGCTGAGAGGATTTTGTTTTAGTTTTATACCTGGAAAGTTGACAACTTCTTGCATCATTCAGTATGGACTTTTCAAGCATAAGAGTGGATTTGGGCGGACATCCGTCATATAGTAATATACTAATATGACATAAGCAAAAAATTTCATTTTTTCCTTCTTTCACGTGTTTGTCTCCGAAATTGTAGAGAACAAGTTCCTCTGTTATCTTTGCAGGAAATGCTCAAGCCAGAGCCATCAATGCAGTACCCTTATGAGGCTCTGGAATCAGTGTCTATGGTTGAAGATGTTATTTCGGAGTACCTTATTGGGGAAAATGCATATTCTTTAGAAGATAATATTTCTGTTCAGCACCTGCCACACACTGACCAAAACATTTTTCTTGTTTTGGAAGTGGACGAAGAAAGTTTGGGAATTCCCTCGTGCTTATCTATGGTAGACATTGTTGGCTCGTATTTTGAAAATATCAGACCTCAAAATTTTGACGAACGATATCAATCCATAACAGAGGGCAAGGAACTTTTGGATCCCAAGAAGTATAACATGATGAAGTTTTTCTCAGATGACTGTCTATCAAAGAAGAGCCTGGTGTTATCAGATCTGTTTCCTGAAAGTGATTTTATAATTATGTTGGAAATTGAACATGTTGATAGTGCTTTATTTGTGAATCTAGTTACCTTCCAGGAATTCGTTTTCCTTGATGAGGACTTAATTCAAACCTATGAAGCTTTCTACGACATAAAAGCATCGGATGATATAGAAACAAGTGACTGCATGTTTAAGAAAGAGTTTGATTTCAAAAGTTTTGATGAGCTGATTGTTAGTAATGAGATAGCATTAACAGATGAGACGTTCAAATCACTGCCTGTACCTGTTATCTCTGATTACGAAAAGATGATATCTCTGCATGATATCATTGAAGAAATATTTTCCAACTTGAAGACTCGACCCTTATCTGCATCTGACGGAATTTACTTAAACTGGGATCTACTAGAAGAAGATAAATGCAATTGCGAAATGTCTAACTGGTTTCAGAACATATGGGCCAAGATAGATCTGAACGACCAAGATTTCGGACGAAAATCTTTTGACGATAGAAAATTGATATTTGATTTAGTTTTATACGGTGATTCTATTGGTGAATGTGGCATTAAACAAAGTGAAGAGTTGCAGAATCTGCTTTCTGATTGCATGCCTCTGCTTGACAATCAGCCTGTTGAATTTGCTTCAGTCGAACTATTAGAACATGGATCCTCTAAACAAGAAAGTCGAGAACAATTAGAAAGAAATGCTGAGAGGGCTTCGTTGTTATTTAAGTCTATGTCAGAAATCAGCAATCTTGATTATTTCTTAAACCCTCAAAAAGCGACTGTTGAGAGGAATTGTGATATTGCAGTAGAGTCCACCAGTGCTAATGTTAGTGTTCGAAAAGTTACATCCACTGAATTGAAGGCTGGTCTACAGTCACAAGGATGGCACACTGTTTTGCATAGAGTTAAGTTGTCCGACAATATTGTGGCCCTTAGTGGATATTTTGAAAAAAGCTATCTAGCCATTTTGCAGAATGATACAGAGCTGACAAAGACGTGTAACTCAGATACAGATTATTTTAAATTGTTGAGTCTTCAAAAGCACCAGCTGATTGAATACCATGTAAATGGAAACAATATGGCATTTATTGTGTTAAGTGCAATTAAACAGGCTGCTTGGTACTTGTGTTTCTATGGTCTTCATCCAGCATGCTTGTATGTCGACAAATTATGTCAAAACTTGGACTACTTGAAATCAAGATTAGGCTTCCTCCAATTTATGATTAAAGACGAAAACAGGAAGGCGGACAACAATATTACTATGGCACACCCGTCACTAACAATTGTCAAGGAAATTTTACAGTCAAACATCAAACGGAAAAGTTTGAAAGCGTTAATTGTGGCTGAAGAAGTATTCTGGTGTTCATTGAAAAATCTCCTTCTTTCCTTGGGGTTATCATTCAGTGAACTAAATAATTCTTACGCAAATCAGCCATATGCAAATAATGTTCCTGAGGAGACAGATACTAAACTGAAGGAACTTCTGATTTCAGACTGCTTGCTGGTTTCATACAAGTAAGCTTTTGTTTCAGGATATTCTTGTTTATCACGCATCCATAGAATTGTACTTTATTTTTCGTAGAATATATGTTTAGCATGTTATTTTAAACTATCTCTGATGATATGTCCTTTTAAATCACCAATTGTAGATATATGTTATTACTTGGACTCTTGGCCAATCAAAGCATGATACGTTTTGGCCCAAACGAAATAATAAATTAAAGCTGGGTTAAAGTAAATGATGATGCAAGAAACAATACTTATAGACGTATAAAACAGAATATTTAGCACGGAACCTTAACCTCTGTTTTAGGAGATTTTCATCTACTGTTAATTTTATATACAGTTTTTGCTCAAGGAGAAATTTGGGATACTGGTCCAGGTTATAATTTTTTGTAATTTTGGTTGCCGGAGTTCCAGACTTGTTCTTGTTAGTGGGAAGTTTTGATAGTAACAAAATATACAAGAAACACATGCAACTGGAAAAATATGTGGAGCAGTAATAGTCTGAAAGCATTTGCACGTGAGGGTGCTACTGATATTTTTTAAAGGACACTGGTTTCCTCTCAATTTCCTCAATTAAGTTGGTCATATCGTATATTGTGAGAACCAATGCAGCACATATAATTTTTGGTTGGTACGTTTTACACCACACTTTATCCCATGATGATGATACTACCTAGTAATTGCTCTATTTAATTGAAGGCATGTTTCAAGATTGTTTCCAGTCAACAAATTTGACATTATTTTGGAATATGGAGGTCCATGTGGCTCATCTAGAATATCTGAATTTTCACCGAACTCGGTTGGATTGCCACATCTTCATTTTTTGACGGTTGAATTGGATGGCCATTCTGCTCTAAAAGCACTCTGTGAAGGTGTCGAAATGCCCGCAAACACTGAAATCTTAATGGTAAGCCTCTGAGATTATGCATAGCTTCATGTGTATAGAATCTATATTATAGATACTATGTTATTGCAAATAAATTCTGAAATCATTTATGTCAAAGTTTCTTATTTATATTTTTTTAATTGCACAAGTTCTACTATAATAGGATAATAATTTACAATATATTCAAATGATATTGTATATAATATTTTAGGAATAGGTTTTAATGATACTTTGATAAGATAAACCTTGGATTAATTTTCCGAAATTAACTATCAAATTTGCCATATAAATAATAACTAGATAGAGCAGTTTTCCTCTCTAATAGATCTACTTCATTTATTAGCAAAATAAGTGTCTGGACCTGTAACTGAGAAGCAAGATCTAATAGTCTTTCATAGCTCCTGTCATAATCCAAAAGTACGGTGTATTGTGATGGCCCATATGGGCTTTTATAGTAAAAAAAATAGTCTGTTACTCTACATTCTTGGTTTATACTTCGTCTACTAATCAATGTGCAAGCATATTAAAAGCTCGCTCGTGCAACTAACAACGATTGTGTGCTAGGAAAGTGAATCTCATCTTATTTTCAATCATAAGGAAAGTATGATGAATCAGAAGTTAGAGGGATTACTGAACTTTTGTCCTGTGGAGCAAAGCTATGATATAAAATCTTCAAAGATTGCACCTGAAGCAGACAATTTTGTGCCACTAATTCCAGTTGTGGAAACTGAGCATGGTCATCTGAACATGGAGCCTTTTCCTGAATCAGTTATCATTGTGAATACTCAAAATGAAGATAAGGAAATGATAATGTCTAGAAGAAGCTCTTACCAAGTAATTCTTGCGATGGAGAAAGGAGGAATTCAAGTTGTTGAACGTGATTTAGATTTGCCTGTGGATCTTATAATAAGTTCTGCAATTTGCTTGGCATGGTATACTAGTAGAAACCTTGGGAAGAAAGCAACTCCGGTGACTGAAGCATCTTCAAGCTTGCCCTTATGTATTGAGAATATTGCAACAGACGTTCTGACATTACTTAGTTTTTACTTCCGTGGCTGCTTTATGGTAATTGCAATTATTTCTATTAATTACACAAGCAATATGTGATTTTTTTTTATTTTTTTTTTCAACTGTTTTTTACAAAATACGGGAATGTCAAGTAGAGCTCGAGAAAAATGATGGTGCTTGATACGTTGGGGAGGTGGTTTCTTTAGGAGCTATTTGTGAGGCCTTTTTGGGGGAAGAATGTCAATCTCGGTGCTCAGCTTCAGCTTTTCATTTTGGAACTTACCTTTAAGACCCCTTGGAAGATTAATGTCTTACTGAGAAAAAACATTCTACTATAAAACCCTGCGTTTGGGGATTTAAGGGACTTTGATAATAGTCATCATCGGATATTTGGTATTATATGCCTGGAAGATATAAGCTTTTAGTACAAGGTAACGGATAAGATTAGTTTGCTGAATCCGGTTATGTTGTTTATGATGGAAAAGAAGCATCACAATGGATGTATATGTGATTAACTGAAATATGAGAGCCGTTGTAGTTGTGGTTGTTGGTTGAGCTATATCGCTTTTACACTGAACTGATTTTAATATGTTTTCTTCTCTTTTCAGGTCTTTGAGGGAGAATTTAACTTTCTTTCAGTTGTGATGGAATCCTCAGATGGACTTTATGCAGCAGCAGCAAGCCTGGGAATTGATTTGCAGATCTTCTTCTCTTACTCACCTGTGTTGACAAACGAAGTTATGCTAAGCTGCATTAAGAGTGCTACCAGATTGACAAGGGGTGTGTACCCTAAAATGCCTGACTCGGTAACTCTTGCAGAGTCATTTCTTACGCAATTTCCTGGAATAAATCCTTTAACGGCACACGCTATACTATCTTCAGGATCCATGCTTAATGAGTTTCTTGAGTGGTCACATGAACAAAGGATCCGTGTTTTAGAAAAGTATCATGTTCCAGAAGAGAGTATTTCTCTATTCAGTGTTTTCTGCAGATATGGGGAGAGGGAGGATTCAAAATCCATAATGACAGACTGCTCCTCTTCGGTATCTTCTGGTCCAGACTCAGATAGGTGTCGTTTATATCAAATTAACAATGAAAGAAAAAGAAAAAATCCTACAAGTAGTCATGAGAAAGATAAACTATGTTATGATGAATTATTGCAGTTCGAGACACTAAATCAAGAAGTTGAGGCTGTCCTGGATTCATCTACCTTGCCAAAACCCTTTGTTCATGGTATGTCAAAAGATGCTGGGAGATCCAATGACATAGCAAAGGTTAGTTTGCCCATGAGTGATCATTTTGGTCAAAAGCAAAGAATCAGTGCGACTACTATGAGGAACCCTTCTAGAGTTACCCAGTCATCATGGAACTGCAAAGCTCCCCAATTATCAGAGCAGCTAGAACAGCCCTGTTTATCTTTGAAAAATAATGAGTTGGCTCAAAATGAAATACTGGATAACGCTTTGATGTGCAAAAGTTTAAATTGGCATAGTCTTGGTAATTCTGAGAAGCTGCATGAGGACGTTGGAGGTGAGGTTGTTGACTTGACTGATAGTCCACTATTAGATAAAAACTTCTCTATTACTGACTCCATGTACTTCCCAAGTTTGATGACTGAGACAGAGAATGACCTGATAAGAAAGAATAAAATTGCACGGAGATTATCATACGATAATAGCAGTCGCCCTGAAACCAGTTCATCGAAAATGTGGAGATCCTTAAAAGGTGCACGAGGAGAAGTTGAGGACTACCCGGAACCAGATTTTGGAAAAGATGCATTTCCTTTTGATTTCAAGCCACGTGAAAACATTGGTTTAACTCAAGCAGCTGTGAGAAACGTACAAGGATTACCCTTCCAAGAGGAAATGTCACATCTGAGCGAAACTCCACTCTCACGTGCCCGGCTGTCAGCTAGTCCATTAAAGAATTCACCTTGGACAACTGAATTTATTAATAGGATAAAAGAAAAGGGAAAATTGCGTCAAAAATCATTATCATGTGAGAAATCTGGCCCTTGTTTTGGGTACCCGGGGAATATGTCGAAAGTTTCTAAGAGAAGAAGTCCTTCTTTAATAGAATTCTTTAAGTACCAACCTAGTAGAACACCTGGAAATATTCCAGAACAGAAAAGACAGAAGCAATCTGGACAATCTTCGAACTCGGTCAAGAAAGCAAGATATTCCGCTTATATATCCTCATGGACTCCTAATGATAAGAGATCAACGAAGGTATGTTTCCATTCTATATTTTAGTGCTGAAGTGAAAGAAAGAGCAATATATTAGTCAAATGACTTAAATCAAATTATATGTTTTTCAGTTCTTTAACTATGATACGGCCAGAAGAGAGACAGAGAAAGGAAAAAAAATAATTCTCGAGTGATTGATTTCATTTTTTTGTTTTGTTTTATCATGCTCCAAATGTGTGAATAAATTCATAACAGTGTAAACCTATCTAGTGGTAGCAGTACTCTCACCTTCAATTTCAAATCAAGACTGATATTCCTAAAAACATACTAATATTTATCTCATACTAATGAAACTCGACAGCCTGCCCAACCCATTAGAAATACGCATCTCAAGTCCGGTCAATTTGGGTGTCTCAACCCATAAGTTATTCAAGTTCGCCTTGTTTTTGTTGTTGTTTTTTTTTTTTTTTTTTGGGGGGGGGGGGTGTTTGTGTGTTATCATTTCGACCCCTTAAACAAAACTGCTTAAAGTATGTCCTTTCTTGATTTAGTCTACCTCTATACAACTTTGCTTCTGTCCTATTATTCATTGACATTCAGTCAATGGCAGACACTGACTTTTGGGAGGAACGAGAGCGGAAGCCAAACTAAGCTGGTCTGGATGGATGGAAATAAGTCACTGTTCCAGGCACAATAATCTATCATTGGAGAGAAGAATGGAGATTTTATATTATATATTACGATGGGCTTAACCTTTTGAAAGGTATTTTGCTTTAAAACCATAATTAGATAGTAATTCTCACACAATTTAATTCTCACACAATTTCAGTTTCACGTACTCACGTTAATTTAATTCGTACACAATTTAATTCTATTTCAGTTTTTTTCTGGACTTGGTATATATCATCTATACTTCGCTTCTATACTATTGATTGACACAGTCGATGAACTATGACAGTGACCGACTTCTGATATGGATGGAAGTTGAAGCCAAACTAAGCTGGTTTCGAATGATGAAAATGGAATTCAAGATCAGAACAATAATACAGGATAATCTATCTTTGGAGCGAATGGAGATTTTATATGAAGATTGATGTTATGATCTAAGAAAGAAGAACCTTTTTCGGGTAGTTATTTCAGTTTGTGACTTCTACGATTCATGAAGTTATATATATTGGTCATATCTGAAAAAATAGAAAAACTGCATGACTGACACAAAATATGCCGGTGCATTTTATTTTACTTTTTATTAAAATTATAAAAAAGTTAGTAATGTTTTGCTATTCTAAAAAATGATGATAAGAAATTTTAAAATGCATACATGAGATCTTTTCAATAATGCAAAGTATGTCAATATATATTATATAGGGGAAATTACACCAATGTAAGTTTTATAAGCCTTACACTCATTAGTTGTATATATATCAAGAGCCAAACTGCTTTTAAAATTAACTTTTTGTATGATATAAAATAAAAGACGGCCTTTTAACTACTAAAAAACAATAAAATAGGAACTTCTAAAATTAGCCAATGGCTTTTGAAAAGCACCATAAGATGATAGGTTTTCTAGATTCAACAGCCTTTTTGTTCTTTGTTCTTTTCACGTTCTCAATCAAAAGTTTTTCTTCTGAGCATTATAGGCTTATTTATCTGTTATTTAGTTGGCAATATTTGCACTTCAAAATAGTCAAATTGATAATAAATGATATTCCATTTGCTATGTAGCCATCTAAGGCAACAACCCCTGGCTACCTTGTCAATGTATCATTCAACCAGAAATATTGGACTAAGTGGCCTAGCAAATTTAAAGGAGAAAATGTTGGTTGACGTACAGGATTTAGGCCTCAACTCAAATGAAAAGTACTGGTTAAGATTGATTAGACCATTGTGACTATGATATCCAGTCAGCTTCGTAACCCATGTATGTTTTGTGTGAGTAACAACACTGTACGGTTGGAATATGTAAGCCCACTATGTTTCCTTTAGGGATGATGTCACTATATGGATGATATCTCTAGCTAAGGTAAAGACCAAGCTAGAAGGTATTGTTCCAAGTATGAAGCAAGTTAATAACAATGGAAGATGAGTGTGTGGTCTGTGACTTAATACAAATGGGCATAATAACGATACATAAGATGTCTCTTTGGTGTGCCAAAGAAGGCTATTTATAAGGAGGTTGTATGAGCTTCCAATGGGTTGGTGAGGAAGGGGTCAACCCTTCTTGGGGTCCGCTCATGATAGCAGATGCCGTGGGGCGTGATAGGCGCTGCTATGATAGCAGTGATGCACCTGGCAGTGTCAGGTATGTCAAAGGGGGCAGTTCCCTTTAATGGCATCTGGGGCGACTGTCTTTGGGGGTTGGGGTCCCGAGATGGGACATTTCGGTGTCTCTTTTGGGGGTTGTCGTCCCATTGGGAGTTGGGGACGGATCCCAGATGTTAGGGTTGACGTGGGTAGGGGATAAGGATTGGGCTTGGACCTTTGGGCCACTGTTGTTGGGCCATTGTTGTTGGGCCATCCGGAACAGGAGCCCCCCCAGCTTGGTAGCAAGTGTAAGTTGGTGCCAAGATAAAAGAGGTTCAGGCAACGCCCCACTGGCGATCTGCATGGTTGCCGTCAAGGTCAAAAGGGTTTGGGTGTCATCTGAGTGACTGTCGCCAAGGTAAAGGGTTTGGGTGTCATCTGAGTGGTGTAAGAGTAGCGCCCAATATCTTAGGTCTTGCAAATGGTATTTTGGGTCTTTCGCCTTTCTGACACGAAGGGTGTCTCTTCGATTTTCGAGGTGTTGTAATGATGGTTGCTTCCATCATTTCAAGTAACTGTAGAACTCAATCATCACGAGGCACGACGCATTAACGCGACATGTCGTCACGAGGCACGACGCATTAATGCGACGTGAAGGGTGTCTTGTCCCCCCGAAATTACCATCAAGCCCCTCATCATAACCGCCTATTACCTGACAGTTATGACATCCTACGATCGAAGAGGTGAGGTCTTACACGTGTAAGCCACCTTGATCTCCTTCCTCCTTTTTAAATAGGAGGTCCGTCCTCTCCTCAGGACCCTCTTCTCATTACCTGCTGGTCTTCGTGTTTCTGCATCATTCATTTGTGCTTTTCCTTCTTTGCGATAGTGCTCGTGCCGGTCCTCATTTCTTACCTGTCTGCATTATCTCAGGTACAATGTTTCACCCTTGTGGCTTTGATATTCCTTTGCACTTCTTTTAGTTTCGCTTCTCTTCTCCTTTTTCTGGTGATGGTTAAGATAACGGATGTGCCTGGGTTGTTCTTACCGGAGTTAGAGGTTGAAGTTAAGGAGGAAGAATTTGACGAAGCCTTCGACACACTCGAAGGCTGTACAGTGGGGCCAGCTATGCAGGAATATCTTACTAAGCGTGGTGGGGAAGGCATCAGCTTTCCCTCATATCGTTCTTTAGTTCCTGGGGTTGAGTCACTGCCCCACGGTAGGATTTCTGAGCTTCTTGGTTTTACTGAAGAAGAGATTCCAAATCTCCTGCCAGAAAGGGCTTTAGGGCCTGTGCTTCCTTATTTGGGTGAGGCGTTTGGCTCTTGAATTCGTAGTAAGCGCCAGGTGTCGGGTGGTGAGACTGCTTCTGGATCTGGTAGGCGTCAGTCTGCTAGTTCCGGAAGGAGACAGTCAGGTGGTTCTAGTGAAGGGGTTAGGCCTCGCCCATCACGAAGTCGTCGTTCAAGGTCTTCTATTCGCTCTTGCGATCAAAGGAGAGGTTCACGTCGCCATGTTTCGCGGCGCTCTGCCCTTGGAACAGGGCGGCTTGTTCAGCCTTTGTCTTCTATTAACCGACACCCGCAAAATCGTCTCATAGAGTATTATTATAAACCTCGCCATTCGACTGTTGACTCTTATATTGCCTTGAGTTCATCACGTGGCCATATTCCCAACATTTCCCAGTCCTTCCATCGCCATAAATATGACGAATCTACAGATAACCGACTAGGTAGATACCACCCAGAGGATGGACGACTTGTGAAGTATGGCGTGTGGGACGCCATATATGAAGACCTGGGGCTCTATAAGATACCGCCTGCTTGGTGGCCTTCTTTTTTAAGCTACTCAGGTTTTTATTCTTCGAGCTCTTCAGAAACTTCTGATTCTGATGGTAAGTTGTTTGTGTTTAAGTTATTTTTGATTTAGTTGTTGGTAAGGAGGGTGTTTGACGGTCGCGGGAGTGGAAGTTGAGTGTTATGGAGCTTTGAAGCTTTCCCCCTTGTTGATCTTCTTGGCGTCGGTTGAAACAGTGTTTGGCGATTGACTGTGTGTTTGTCGCTCCTTTGTAGAATTTGAAGACACTCTCTTGACTTATGGCGGCTCTTCAGGAAGGCGATTGCACATTGGCGAGGAGTTGGTTAGACCCGTTGGTAGCGTCCTCGTCATCGAGTTATGCTAACGGGGATATTTTGTTCCGTGATTACCAAACGGAAGCTAGTTTTGTCATTACCCCAAACGGTGTACATGAGGGGAAGTGGCAAACAATCGCGGTTCGGTCTGATCATCGTGTTTGTGACACTCCTCACAGTGTGGCGAGATCTCGATGGCGGTTCGCGGTGTATAAGACTCACTTCACGGATCAGAAAGTGAGGTTCCCTTTATCTGAGTTCGAGATGGGAGTGCTTGCCCACCTACAGGTTGCTCCTTCCCAATTGCACCCAAATGCTTGGGCATTTGTTCGGGTCTTTGAGAAGATATGCCAGTATTTTGGATGGGTGTACTCTGTGCGGTTGTTCTTTTATTGCTTCCAGGTGTCGCCTTCATTGAAGAAGCTTGGTTGGGTTTCGTTGAAGGCGGGAAACGGATTGGGATTGATATTCTCCCAGTATGCCAACTCATATAATAACTGGCGACGTACTTTTTTCTGGATTGAACCAGTGCTTGGTGAGGGGGAATTACCTTTTTTGCTTGATCGGGCGAGTAGGGAGAGTCAGTTTCCGCTATACTGGACTAAAGCCCATTATGAGACGCCCGCCAGTCAGTATTCGTTTGAGTGGGGAGCCTTATCTCCTGAGGAGGTAATGGTGGTGGATTGCTTTGTGGAGGTGAATGGGGTCTTGACCGGTGGCCTTCGAAGCAAGTGTTGTGTCACGGAGGTGTGGTGATGTTTGGTACCATTTGTGACTGTGGTGAGTATTAACTATCTTTACTAACGCTTGTCTTTCCTGTCTTGCAGTTGGAAGCTTGCCGATGGAGACACTGAGACTTGCACGTGAGGCGGATGCCAAGCTTAAAGCCTCGAAGGGCGTGGTTCCGCAAATCAAACCAAACCTCGCCCCGAAGAGGAAAGACATGGACAAAGGGAAGAAAAAAGAAACCCAGCCGAAAAAGAAGAAAATTCGGTCTGCTGCAGATATTCCTGCTGGCGAGCTGGAGAAGAGGGCGACTGCCCCTATTATTAAAGAGCCCACGAACGTGGTGGGAAGCTCGTCAGCAAGTGAATCGACTCTGGGGTCGTGGTCTCCTGCTCCTGGGGGGTCAGGTATGAAAAGAGGGGAAATGAAAACTTGACTCCGCCAAGGGCCTCCAAGACGCCACGTCTCGAGCCATCTAAGTGCAGGCAGTTTGTTGATGACTCAGGCGATGGTGAATGCTGGAAAACAGTACTTTTGATGACAGAGAACCTCGTGCAATAGCTGGTGCGCAAGATTTTCCTCCTCCTCCTGTTGAGATCCCAGTTGGCAGGGCCCTCAAATTGTCAGAGAGGGACCTTGACTGTGGATTTCCTAACGTGGGGCGTCCTAAGATGGTGGTGCCAGAGAGAATCGATCGCCAAGAATTCATGGACTGCTCCCAAGTGGTTATTGGCCGCATCTTAGGAATGTAAGAGATCGCCCTTGCTGTTGACAGCCGATGCTCCTCCCAGGATGATCGCCTTGATGAGATGGGGCGAAAGATGGATGGTCTTACTGCTGAGGTTAGGCGCCTTGGTAAGGAGGTTGCCGACAAAAAGGCTTCGAACAAGTCTTTGTCCGCCCGACTGAAGAAGGCGGAAGGAGAGGTTAAACGGCTCTCCTCCGACAACGATAACCTAACAAAGTCGTTAGAA